CCAGGACGTGGCTTCAAGGTTGGGAATTAACTGCGCGTCCGACCGATCCATCGTGTAATCCTGTTATTTTTGCATTAGCTTAACATTTTACTTTCATGTTGCGCATGCTTTGTCCCTTGCCAACTGTGTACGTAGTCGAGCAGCTATGTGCATAATCATATACAGGTATATCCTCCACCAATGAGCTGAACTTCAAACTAAATAGCAGTTTAGAGGGAATTCTACATATGGCTGGTGGGAATTTCGGTTACATTAATGAATAGGTGCGAAAGGCTAAATCCCTTCCCCGTCGAAATAAAAAAATCCACTGTCTTGTATTCCTCTCAGGAAGCATTTGGGAAAATGACATCGAGCATGCTCCATAAGAGGGAGAAAGGGGTTTCACTCCCAATGTGCGAAGAAATTTATTTAAAGTTCTGGTAAAAAGTTGGTTCTGGCAGGAAACGATCCCCCAGGTATCTAACCCTCATATAGTGATAAAAGCTTTAACAGACTCTCTTCCCCAAAGGTGCCGAGTGGTGACAAATAGTCTATTATCCCCCCGAAAATGTCACCTTTTTGGAGAAGTTCTGGTCCTCCCTTTGCTGCTTAACGCGTTTCACCATCTGGTGCAACACTCTGGCACATCCTCCGAAGCATCACTTTTACTTCGCCGACTTACAACTTGGTACTAGGGGAGCGGCACCAGTTCGCGAACAGGGATCCAGTTAGCGAACGAGGGTCATGAAATGCGATTTGGTCTTTTGTTTCTCTAGTTACACGCTCCAGCTTTTGGTATCTGCAGAAAATGGATTGATTGTTTAATAATGCTTGGGATGGAGAGTGAAACTAGAGTAACAAAAGGCCAAATCGCATTTCATAACCCTCGTTCGCTAACTGGCTCCCTGTTCGCGAACTGGTGCCGCTCCCCTAGGTGGTGCTCAAGTGCTACTGCAACTTTTTGCCTTCTCCCTAGACTGCTAATACAGGGTGGGCTAAAAAAAAGTTCCACATTTTTCATTTAGCTGTGACATATTTACTAATCGAGATAGGCGCCTGCAATTTATGTCATTGCTTAGATTGCTTACACTAAAATCCAACACACTTCATTTTGTGAGAATCGGTTCAGACGTTTTGCAAAGTGACGATTTCACGGCGAGAGGTGAAAAACCGCCGCTGTGTGAACTGGGGATTCTCCCTCTCACTCGTACGTGTGTGCGTGGAGGCCCGCATTGCACGCAAAAAACATTCTCTGGCAAAAAGATAGGCAGACGAAAAAAAAATAACTCCAAACAACAGGCAAAACGATAGGATATACGGAAATTTTGGCCGCAAGAGCCTCGCTCATCCGAACCGTCTGTTGAACAGAGCCCTTCAGCCTGTCCATAACGGTATCGGTAGGTTTGTCGCACAGCGGCGGTTTTCCACCTCTCGCCGTTAAATCGTCACTGTGCAGATACTTCTTAACTGAATTTCAAAATTAAAAGTGCCTTTTATTGTATTGTACCGGCTTAGCCGGTAATCAATTGTACAGATTGTAGGCACTTGACTTAATTAGCGAAAACGTTACAGCAGAATGAAAAAGGTGGAAAGGAGAACATTTTTGGCTCACCCTGTATATTGGAGATCTATGGATTGAAGCAGATGAGCATGTCAAGTGGAATGAACAAATCTAAGGAAGCTATAAATGGTCTGCAGCATTGGAAGAGACGTATTACGCATAATAATAATTTAGCATTTAATTATTATTTACACGTCTTTCAGTAATTATGAGCATTAATTATTATAAATTAGCATAACTTAATATTAACTTTTTTCAGGTAAGGAGAGGTTAAGGTTAAACTTTTCGATTTCACAAACATTTAAGAAAAATTACAGGCAGAAAATGCGTTTTCTCAGAGATAAAAGTAGGCCTATGCGTGGGTTGTTGGGATTAATAGCTCACTTCTATTTCGGGAAAAGTAAAGACACGAGGTGTAACACTGTTTCGCAGAAAGAGTTCTGCTTTCTGGAGAACGTGTCTTTACTTTTTCTGATTAGGAAATGAGTCATTTACCCCAACAACTCATCCAATTTTTTTTTCTGAGAAAACGCACTTGCCGTGTGTACATTTTTTTTAGTTTATGGAATAATTTATTTACATCTATAGTAATTAATCCTACTGAATTACTTGACTAAGTGGAATTAAATTTGGATATACTGTACATAGAGCTCCTCTAGTTGTATCCAGCCATGCAAATCATTTTACGCTGCAGCTTGTACTCACCGTTCTCTTCTTTTCCAACCCTGAAATCTCCATATACTAAATATACTGGTATAGAATACTAGAATAGTAACCCTCTTCCTCTCTACGTACTGTAACATGTCCGTAGTTGTTTGTATCCCGCGCCTGTCCAATCCTTTTTAGAAATAAAAGAGTATCCCGTGTATTTCAATGAGGGATTTCACATGAAACAAAAAAAGTATCCCCAAGCCTCTGAGGTCCAGGAAAGAGGCTGAATGTAGTTAGCCTATTTCAGTTATTACGGTCGAGTTTAGCTCTGGCTATCTACACGTTAAAGTATCGTCAGCATGAATACTTTTTTTGCAGAGGAAAATTTCATCGAGCAGTTGAAGTCCAAAGCGTTTGGGACCGAGACAGGTTGTAGTAGTGTGGTAGGAGGTGCAAATTGAAGAGTTTGTTGGAATGCCCTTTGCATCTCTATGCTACATGAAAACGCGGCCTTCTGTTCAATGACAAATTTCAGCTGACAAATAAACTCGCCTCCACCCAGTCGTCTCACTCCCCTGGGCTGGGAAACTCTTAACACTCGCCGGAACGTGGCTCTTTCCCTTACATTGTTACGAGAAAAGTTGAGGCTATCGGCTACCTTTCAACATATGCCTGCCCGAAGCTTGAAGGTCGCTGCAGTCTTGCGTGATGATGATCAGCCTGTAGGAAGAAAAAAGTCAAAAGAACGGGTGGGAAATTGGTCTCCGTTGACATCTAGTGCATTCTTTCAAAGATCGAAAGGGATAATTAAGATAATTCATAGTCTCACCTCTCTCCCCATCAGCCACTCCCATCTGGAGGAATCATGAAAAAGGGTTTTACGCATTAGATCTACAGACTACACCTGGCCTATGCTTCGTTTAAGTTTTTAAGTGCTTGAGAAGCAAAATGTAAAACACGTTCACGAATTGTGAAGCCCGCAGAGCAGGAAGACCACTCATATTCAGGGACATAAATAGGGATGGGCAAAGGTGAGTGCTTGCCCAGGAGTGTCAGAAAGGGAAGGGGACGAAAAAAAAGAGGCAAGTGTGGCATGTGGCATAAGGGAAAATGGAAGGGGAAAAGTTGGTGGGCCGGCAGGAATGAGTAAATCTGATAAATTAAATATTGAAAAATAGAAAATTCCACGGAGTCTTAAGGCCGTTTCACAATTTGCGTCTCGAGTGTGACGAGTACGATGCAGAAATGCATTCGAGAAGCTCAAGATTTTCATGTTTGCATGTTGTACGTCTGTACCTGCGTCTCCATCGATGCTGATAAAACACAGATGCGTCTAGTCACATAGATATGACAGCATTTCGACGCACCGGGCGAACTTCCTCTCCTAAAACTTCTCCTTCATATGTATGCGTGCGAACATCCCGAATTGAACCGATCCCAATTCCACACGCAAGCCTTACCTTTTAACCCTTGAATATATAGACGGACATGCGTGTGCACGCGTGCGTCTGCCTACCTGCCCAAGCATCCACGCAAGGACGCAAGATTCGCAGTGTGAAATGCCCCTTAGAGCCCCTGAAGGCTTTCTCTTAGTGCCCAACTCGAAAGTTTTCCTTTTTTCATTACCTTCCTTTTTCTAAGTTCATGGATTTTGAAAAAGTCAGAATCCCCCAACAATAATTTATTTTCTGACAACGCCTCTGGGCGTGGAAAAGGCTGGTGCCGGGGGGGGGCTAAGCAAAATGCCCTGTTCAGGGGCGCCGTACAAGATAATTATGGGTATGCTCCTGTCACAATCATGAGAGCGAGTAACCCTCAGTTTTGGGAGTTTTTGAAGGAAAGGTGATGATAGGAAACATGGAATGAGTGAAAACGGTGGATGGAAGAGGTGGGAAGGAAAAAGGGAAAAGGCCTGGAAACTCACGGTTCCCGTCACGGGTATCCCATGCACGAGTGCATTTCATCTCCCTACTCAATCGAGTCGATGTGGAATCGACATACTTCAATGCTTTCAAATGCTCGTGCAGACATTCTGGAGTCTCACATAGAAATCTCCAGATTGACTGTTTGGTGACTTAGCACGCTTTTGTCCCCAGTCCATCAGTTACAGTTCATTCTCCATATAACACCACTCGGTATAGCCTACCGCCAACCTCACTCATCGCCAACCATTCCTTGCGAAAAAATCCTTCCTGCAAGCTCATCATAGGCGATCCGCGTTATAGCGCAGCCTTCGCAAAGCGTCATCCGCCAACTTTTATGCATACGATTTTGTTTTTATCCATGATTCCGAGCCCTCGATTTTGCACCGAGTAGCATACACGCCACAATCCGAACAGTACCATTCTCCACTAAATCATTGTCGCCAACTGATCCACCTGATCTCTTGACAGATGCTGAGAGACGACTCTTGTCTCCACCTAAACCTCTGAATTGGATAGTGCCTAGGAAAAAGGCGGAGTAGCTGAAGGGGGTGCATAGTGACAAGATAAAATGCATCCATTTAGTCAATAGGAGTACGTAGCAACTAGCATTCTGCGAATGATTCAATATTACGCCACTCTCGCTATAGTGAATGACAATCGGCGATGACCATCAGTGGCATTATGTTAAAGATTGACTATTTCTTGTTTAATTCGTTAGAGTTTATTCCTAAATAAAATTCAAGTACAAAACAGTACCATTAATATACGATAAATTAAAAAAAAATACATGTAACATTCAGTTACCCTTGCAGCTCGAGGTACCCCACGAGTAGCTTTGATATGTGTTAACTCGTTTACATTATATTAGCCCTGCGCCGGATCAGATGAGTCTGTTATTAATATGTTCACATAAATGAAAATATATCCTTTCATTAATGATGACGACTGATACATTTTCATACTTATATTTCTATTTTATATTTCTATGCAATTTTGTGGGGGGGCACTTTACAGCTGGCAGGAGTTGCGGAGCGATGTGGAGAGCCGATCGGTGACCGGATCGGTTAAGGTGTCACCACGAGGTCACCGGAGCAGAGATGCAGTGAAGCTTCCGGCCATCCAATGCGTGGAGACATCATCCAACTCCGCTTCGTCCGCTCTCAGGCGAGCCTCTCTCGGGCAACGTACGTTTCTATTTAGCCGATAAATATCCTCATCCTTCTGAGGCATTCTCATGGATCAATTGACGCTTCGTACCAGTGCCAAGCTTGGATGGTCGAGAGAGGTCGCCGCCGGAGTCGTCGGAAGTGCGGTTCGGGAGAGAGGTGCGGTCGGGTCCTAGTGCACCGCGGCGGACTCCGCACTTCCCCGACCTCGTCCTCACCTCTTCCGCCCTTGTCCTCTCCCTCCAGGGTAAAAAAGGATCAAGGGAAAATGAGGTCCAGAGACCAGCCAATGCTACGGATGCTTCCGACGCGTCCGATCCCATTTTCGATAAACACATCAAACCGCTTCTCCGACATCTTTCTAGCAACAATGACTCCGGTCAGACATTGACTAGCACTTTTCTTGTTAATATTTCATACGTTAATATTCGGAATCGCTTCAGATGACGTTTCATTGATTTCCCACAACAACCGCCCCCATATGGAATTATCTATAAATTCTCTCTTCGATCATTGTCGTTCCAGGCCCATCAAGTAAAATCATGCTTAAACTTGTATTCTTTCCCGAAATACGAAGTGCTTTCAAAAATATCTCGTGATTAACTTTTTTTCTGGGGAACTAAACGATGGCAAAGTATTCAACATTTTTCAACACGATCTCATTACTTGTCAGGACCCAAATTGCACCGTTTGGTGGGCTTTTGGAAATCAACAGCAAGTCTTTGAGGGTATGTTCACCAAGATGAAAAATCTCTGAGATATAGCATTAATAAACAACTAAGCTGTCGAGAAGCAGTGGGTCGGGCGGACCCATCCATCTTTCCTTAATTGCCCTGTCATGAGTCCTGCAAAAGCCCTATTGCACTGTATAATAAAGCAAAGAAAGGGAAGAGAGCTTTCCAGCGTTATGAAATTCATCGCGATCGCGGCATGAAATTCCGAGCAGTGAAAGGAAAAAGGGGAAAAATTCACGAAAAAGTTCATGGGGGCGCTCACATTTTTTTTTTTTGGAACGCCCTTGGCCTACTTGCCCACGAAAAGGATCTTTTATGGTTTTCGAATGTGAAGAAGTCTCAGGAAGCATATTAAAATTTTACCCACAAACATCTACCAGTTCAGTTTGAATGTGCATTGCTCTTTAGTCACGAAACAGATAAACAAATCTTTGTCTTACGTTTCATAACTGAGCTATCTTTTTCTAGTGTCTTAAAAAAAAAACATTTATTACTTTATTAGTAAAACAACCAAATTCGAATGTGAAAAATATTGGATAAGTAGAAAATGTGCTAAGCAACAATGAGGCATAACAAAATCTCTCTCAGTCATCTCAGATGCGTTTAATAAAAAATTTCGGATGAGAACGTTTTAAATGCACCTTGCGCATTTGTTGAAATAGACAGTAGACCTAAATATTCAAAAAGTCTTGAGTTGTCTTCATTTCAAAATTTATTTCGTAGTTGATTAATTTCACTGGATGGGTTGAAATGGACGGAATATTCGATAAATAATTTTTTAAAGGTGCTATGGAACTTGTGGTTGTCTCATTGCGACTTTAAAATTTGAAGAGAGCCAAAGGGTATGAAAATTTCGTAGCTTATTTTTTTTAACTTTCTGTGGTAGATTTTTGGAGATCTAAATCTCTTTATGACTTTAGACTACAGATGCTTGTAGTCGGTTGGTTAAGGTCGACATGCTCTGTCTTGGGACGGCCACCTATGACCGTTTTCGGTACGAATGTTTAAAATCAAAGTTTGCGTTTTGTTTAAGATAGGTGAATTAACTTTTAAAAAAAGATAGTCGATTTTCTTGTCTATCTTGTGTCCCCCGCTGAAAAAACCTCATGAGATCCTCATGAGGGCGTTTCAAAGCCTCATGAGGAATTCGGTAGATCTCATGAGAAAGTCGTGAGATCTCAATAGATTTTTTCTGCAGGATGTGGACCCTCATGTTGTATTTTCTGTTCTATTTCCCAAGGTGCAGGCGACGAAGGCGAACTGACGGAGTGTCTCCGGACCCTTTACTCCTGCTTGTCACAGCACGGATATTTTGGCAATAGCAAAGGGGCGAAGTGGAAATGGGGGCGTTGCCAAGTCCTGAAGGCACTGAATCCACTGATCGAACGCTGCCAGGCCCCAGCCCTCGTGCAACTCGCCCGCATCTTCCTGGCCGTAAACACCCCAATTATTCCTTTTTTCTGTTTCGTCGCTGCATATATGAAGGGGATCTTTTTGGGAATTCAGTTGAAGCTGAGGGGACAGAACTTGGTGAGTTCGAGCAAACTGGTGCTTCGGATCGCTCGAAGCGATCGGAACGACCAGCTCTTCCTCGAAGGCAACGTTCTGGGTAAGAACGGAACGCAAACGCATCGGTTAAACTAGAGTGTACTGACACACTAGAGTTCCATGTCCAATTTTTCCTTGCTTCTACTATACAGGATGACAAAAGTTCTGTACGCTCTGTATTTTCTACATTTAATAACTTCTTTGAACAGTTAAAAAACGGGGATTAGAAAAATAGAAACTGCAACTATTTCAACATATAACAATAGCAAAATCGCTCAAAATGGCCATTTTTTGCGTTCACGCAATCGCGAAGTCTTTTTGGAAACGCAGCGACTGCGGCACGCAGAGTTTCTTGGAAGATTTTGAGCCATTCTGTTTGAAGGGCACGCTTCAGTGACTCGACCGATGCATATGGAGTAGCACAGGCTTTGTTCTCCAAGATGCTCCACACAGAAAACGAATTTCCAATGGGTTCAGGTCGGGACTATACGGAGGCCATTCTGCCAAGGTGACGAAGTCAATAAATTCTTCTTAGCAGAAGGCCTGATTGATAGTTGCCTTGTGAGCTGGCATAGAGTCCTGCTGAAAAGTCCATTTACACTTCCCAAAATGCTGTTTGGCCCAGGGCTTTACTGCGCCCTCCAGGATGAGGTCACGGTAAACAGTCGCGTTGATCTTTGTGCCGGAAGGCACGAAAACCAGTCGTGTGAAACCCTCTGCAGTGATGCCGGCCCACACAATCACAGAAGCTGGCATCTGAGTATAAGTAACACGACGGAGGTCTGGAGAGATGCCGAAAGACTCTGCTGCCCTCACTCGGTCATTTAGAGAGTTAAGGGATCGCTCGATTGTGAGGAGCTTCACGTCAGAAAAGAGGATATTGCGATAGCCGCCATCTGCGGACCGACGGAGCAGCGACTGCGATCGATGCAGTTTAGTCTTCTTTGCTTTTTCCGTGAGAAATTGAGAATTATGGAGCTTCAAAGGCAAGAGATTCAGCTTGTTCTCACCAATTCGCCAGATCGATTCACGATTTATCTGCATCGTTTGGACCATTTTTCTCAGCGATCGCTTCAGATTGCGACGAAGTCGGGATAGAACTCTTTTGATGCTGGCAGTGGTTGACACACACTTCGGTTGACCCAATCGATGACCACCCTCGGTAGAATTTGTCTCAAGGAACTGCTTGATAGTACGTTTCATGATGTTCCGGGTGTACACACAGAAAATTCAGTGCCTCAGTTCGATGCATTTTTCTCGCGAAAAAATCTGTCCTGCATGTGATGCGTCTTTATCGCATCGGATTTTGGATGCGGTTATAGCATCAAATGTTGGATGCGATAAAAACGCATCACATGGACAACTTTTTCTCGACGAAAATGCATTCATTTGATTCT